GCGGATGAGGCCCTGTCCTCGTCCCCCCAACCCCTGCGCGGCAGCCGCTGCCAGATGTGACCGCCCGGCGGCTCCGGGTGCCGAGGCAGGGGCTGGCCTGGCCCACTCCGACGGCGATGACGCACCCCCTCCTGCTCACCCTGCCACCTGCCTCCCGTGCCTGCTGTTCTGATCCGCACAGGACGGACGGGAGAGCGGCGGGGTCTGTCCCCTCAGGACGGGTCCTATTGGGAGGGGGTCCTGGCCACACATGTAATTACAAACCTCAGGACACTCCCCCGGCCCCCAGCGCAGCCTCGGGCAACGGCGGGCACACCCCCGGGGGGAACACGGGGCGACCAGCATCGGTCTTCCAGCCAGTTTCCCGCCCCCCGAGAACTGGGCTGCAGGTTCCAGGCACCTGTTCCAGGTCACAGGAGCAGGGAGACCAGTGGGCACGACGCGCCCTGGTCCGGGCTGCGTCCTAAGGAAGCAGCCGAGCGCGTGTGAAAAGGAGACGCGCCTCGTAGCTCAGACGTGACGGCGGGTTCCCCGGACGCCTGGACAAGACCGAGGACACTTGGCGGCCATCGTGGTGGAAGGGACGGAGCCGAGGGCAGCGGACAGGGCCCAGCTCCTCGCACCAGGGGCACGTCCAGCTGCCCGCCCCGCCCGGCCCCACTCCTGGCTGCTTCCTGCAGCCCGGTCAGCACGGATGCCACTGAGGGAAGTCACGTGGCCCAGGGCACGATAGCGTGCAAAACCCGTCCGTGAGCCAGGACCCGCACGGATAGCCAGTGTTTCCATAGGGCAGGCCTCCAACCAACGGGCAGGTGTGCTGGAAACCACACACACACACGTGCACACACATGTATGCACAACTTTAGCACACGTGCACACACCACGTGACACACCAGGCACGTGAACATACTTGTGCACATGCATGCATACACCCTCACACTCATGTGCACACACATGCACATACTCTTGCACATATTTTAGCACCCATGCACACACCCATGCACGTGTGCACACTTGTGTGTGCACACATGCACATGCATGCACACACACTCACATGCACACACATACACATGCACACACACGCATACCCCCCGGGCTGGAAGCCCAGGTGCTGCCCTTACCTGTGTCCGATGCCAGATCACGGAGGCCCTGGAGTGGCCCAGCTTGTTCCTGCAGGGCCCCTTGTCGTAGTGGATGAGGAGGAAGTCGTCCTGGGGGAGAGCGGGGTCAGGGGTCAGTGCCCGTCCTGGCTGCTCCCTTCCAGGCCAACGGGACCTGCAGGGGGACCGCCCGCCCGAGCACCACCCGCCCCGGACGCCTGCTGAGCGGTGCCGAGTGTGGAGGAGAATCGCATGACGCTGGGTGCTGACCCGGCCGACCCGAGGCCCCGCCCCCCACGGCCACACTGGCCCCGCTGAGCTTGGTCCCCGGAGCCCCACCTCTGCGTCCGCCTCTGTCCCAGGCAGGGGCTCCTGGCCGAGAAGCTTCCCTTCCCGCCGGCCACCCCCCTGCACCCTGCAGACCTCTCCCCGGGAAGTGCTGCTCTCAGCTCAGCCCATCCAAGGCCTCACCACAGGAACCAGCCTCTGCAATGTCCCCAGCTGCCCAGGAGGGGACAGCAGCGCCCTCGGACTCTCAGGGCTCAGGCTGCCCCTGCCTCCCTCCTGCTGCTCTCACCGCCCACCTTGACCTCAGATCACCTTGCCTTGACCTTGACCTCCACCGCATGGTCAGATTCCCCTTCCTGATGCCAGTCTGTTCGACCAGGCTCAGGACCCCGTGATTGGCCCCTGAACCTCCACAAACACCCCCTGAGCGGGAGGCGCCCTTCCCCCCTTAGCCCTGAAGGGAACCAGCTCCCTAAGGGGGCAAAGGAGGGGCTGGGGGCTGCTTCTCCCTGCGAGGAGGGTGCGGCCGGACAGCCCTTCTGAGGACGGAGTGACAGCACAGGCCCGGGCCCGGCGTGTCGGCGAGGGAGCGGCCTTTCTTCGGGCCATGGAGACGGAGGCCGGACACTGGCTGTCGTCTCACCGAACAGCCCCCTGCGGGGAGCACACTGGGCCGCCTCCTCCTGGGGACAGGGCGCTGGCCTGGGGCCCGACTCCGATGACCGCCCGGGGCCTGAGGGCGGGGCCTGCCAGGGCCCAGGAGCGGTTCTGTCGCAGGGACCGCCTCCTGACGATCGTTCAGAGACATCTCATCATGTTGGTGTGGGGGGGGGGGACCCAGTTAGAACCAACTCGGACGCGGAGGGCACTGCCTGGCGCCCAAGCAGAGCGGGCAGCTGTGCCCAGAGCGGGCTCCGCGGGGCTGGCCTCCCGTGACGGCGAGGCCCTCGGGGTAGCGGGCCACGGAGCCCAGGCAGTGATGGCTCCGGAAACCACACGCGTCCACCGTGCATTCCCACAACCACTCGGGGACAGCTGACGCCGTCGGTAAACGCCTTTCGCTTCCCTTTCTCTTTAAGGAAAGTTCTGCGGAGCGACGGCAGGTCCGATATCATGTAGCAGAACATCGTGTAGTTACGTTTCCTCAAAGCTACTGGAATTCAGTAAAGTGCACACTGAACCCCCTTATGTGTCACGCACAGGGGACCAGAGAGCCTGCGGGTCCCAGAGCCGCCCGCGGGCTCCTCGGCAAAGGGCGCCCCGCGTCCCCGCGCCCTGTCCCGGCCCGGGCAGACGGGCGGGTGGGCGGGCAGCCGGTACTCACGTCCAGGGACTCCAGGCAGTACCAGCAGAAGGCGTGCTTGCAGTTCTTGCACATCATCTGGGCGCAGCCTTCGTCCCGCTCGATGTAGACCTTGCACTTGGGGCAGCGTTTGATGGGCGCGTCGTCCTCCTCCAGCCTGAACCCCGAACTGTGAGGAGAAGTGGGGTCAGGGGCCGGGGGTCAGTCCATCGGCTGTGCTGGGGGCGGGGGCTTCCCCGGAGGCACCAAGGTCGCCTGTTAGTAAACGAGGTAAAACTACACGAAGAAACAAAAACTCCGGAAACAACCACCAGGAAAGCGTGGCTTGGCCAGTTCAATGCGGGGGGAAGAGCAGGAGCAGCGCACACCCCACCTTAGGCACAGGAACAGCCGGGCCCAGAGGACGGGAGGTTCACGAAGGGGGGGTCCGAGGCTCGGGGCCGTGGTCACATGTTACGCCCTGATGCGAGCAGAGCGGGTGCACTTCCCAAAGGGCTGGTCACGTTTCCGCGTTTTACCACTTTCAGAAAAAACGGACTGGCACACGCCCGCACTGCTGCTCAGCTGGTCCCGGGTCAGCCTCCACACCTTTCTCGGGAGCCGGCGAGGCCGGCAGAGGGCGCTGGGCCGGGGGCCGGTGCTGGCTCCTCTGCAGACTCGCTGCGGAACCCTGCGCTCGGAGCCCGAGGCCCTGAGCGCCCGTGTGACCAGCTCGGCCGCAGCGCAGGCGGGCGGCCGCGAGGTGCCGGGTTAGTGGCAGCCACGTCTCCGCTGCTGATAAAAAAGGTAACATAGAGCCCGGCTGGCGTGGCTCAGTGGTTGAGCATCGACCTATGAACCAGGAGGTCACGGTTCGATCGCCGGTCAGGGCACAGGCCCGGGTTGTGGGCTCCATCCCCACTGTGGGGTGTGCAGGAGGCAGCCGATCCATGATGTTTGTCTCTCATCAATGTTTCTATCTCTCTATCGCTCTCCCTTCCTCTTTCTCTAAAAATCAATAAAAACACATTCAATAAAAAAGTAACGCAGATGTCCAGGTGTGAGGACGGAACGCCGTCCATCGTCCGCTCTTGTATCAGAGGCGGCTGCAGGGCACATGGGAGCCGGTGGACCTGGGCCGGGCCGGCTCTGCCCACGCTCGCGGGGGCCGCCCCGTGAAGCAGATGGCTGCAGACACGGTGCCGGGCGCCAAGCCAGCGAGCGAGGAGACTCCCAGGTCCGGTCGCGTGGCTGCTCGCAGGAGCCACCTTGGGGCAGGGGACCGATTTTCTCGTGGGACTCGAAGCCGTTCTGAAGGAAATGCCCCGACCAGGGCCCACACCCCGGAGAGCATCCCCAGGAGACGTTTCCCAACGGAAACGGTTAAAACAGGGGAGTCCCGGAGCACGGGGCCTGCGCAGGAATCTCCCTGCTGCCACGGCTCCCGGCCTTCCCGGCCCCTGAACCACACGTGACACTGTCCCCTCTGCACAGTCCTGCTAGGGAGGCAGCCAGGAGCCTGACAGCCTCCCCACGTCCACGCGTCCTCACGCCTTTAAGGCTCAGGCGTCAGGCACGTGAGCAACGCTGGCCGGTGCTGCTTGGGCACGTGGGTGGCGGGGAGATCTCGTTTTGAAAACAGCCGAGTGGACGCTGAGTCATAAAAGACACCTGGCTGCCAGCGTCAGGGCCAGGGAGGCAAGAGGGCGTGGCGGGGACTGTGGCAAACCAGGGTGGCACCTCCCTAGAAAGGGGTGCCCGCTGTAGGCCAGGATCTGGGGGGAGAGTCCAACCAAGGCAGCAAGAGGAACCAGCCACGCAGGAGTTACCAGCCACGCAGCAGACGAACTAACACCACAGGGCGATGCCGTAATCAGCCGGGCCATCTCCCAGCCGACACGGGGGCTGGGTCACCGGCCCCACCCTGGTTGCTGGGAAGCTGAACGAAGGCGGACGTGAGCCAGGCTTGGGGAGTGATAAGGAGTCGCAGGAACGGAAGGGGGGGGGGGGCAGAGACCAGTGTTCCCGGGCATCTTCCGGGAGGAAGCCCCCCTCCCCCCCAGCCCTGCCTCCCGGCATGAGCCTACCTGGTGTCCCCGGGGAGGAAGGTGATGGGCATGGTCTCTGGGCAGCCCTGGCCGGGGTGCCAGCTGGCCTTGCAGGCGGAGCAGAATTCCGTGGCGCAGGCCTTGCACTGCACCGGCTGGGATGTCTGCAGCCCCATCTCCGGGAGCTGGCACACGGCCTGGCAGGTGGACACCGGGCACCAGGTCCGACAGGGGTCCAGCAGCACCTCTGGCACAGCAGGGACACGAGGGACAGGTCAGGCGCTGCGGACGGGGCCTCGGGCCCAGACCCAGGCCTCACACACGTTCTTATTTTATTTATAAGTATATTCTTATTGACACCAGAGAGGAAGGGAGCGGGAGAGAGAGAGAAACATCAATGATGAGAGAGAATCATGGATCGGCTGTCTCCTACACGCCCCACACTGGGGATCGAGCTGGCAACCCGGGCCTGTGCCCTGACCGGGTATTGAACCGGGACCTCCTGGTTCACAGGTCGGCGCTCAGCCCCTGAGCCACGCCGGCCGGGCCAGGCAGGCCTCACATTTTCACGACGTGGGGAATGTGCTGTCGTCCTGCAGGTTTTCACTACAACACATTTCAAAGAAACAGAACAAGTCCCGTGTTTTCAGGTCGTATCTCCAAACCTGCCCCTTGGCGGCCACAGTTGCCGCTCGTCTGACCATGGACACCATGACGTGTGAGCGGCGCCTGCAGACGCGCTGTCGCCAGGACCTCCGAGTGTAGTTGTTTTGGCTTTGACGTCACGTGAGCAAAAGGCTCTACAGCAGGGGTCCTCAAACTACGGCCCGCGGGCCACATGCAAATACAAATATTGTATTTGTTCCCGTTTTGTTTTTTTACTTCAAAATAAGATATGTGCAGTGTGCATAGGAATTTGTTCATAGTTTTTTTTTTAAACTATAGTCCGGCCCTCCAACGGTCTGAGGGACGGTGAACTGGCCCCCTGTTTAAAAAGTTTGAGGACCCCTGCTCTACAGTAACAGGTTCCACAGGCGTGTGTGTATCTTTAACCTCAAACGGGCCTATTTTTATGCAAAAGAAACAGAAAACCCCTCTGACTGAGCCCACGCTCTGGAGCCTCACAGTTTGCACGGCCAGCGGGACGCGGACCCGGCCGCCTTGTTCAACTCGCCCGGATGCCACAGGGCGTCCATCTCCTCTGAGCCCAGGCGACCACCCGCGGCCCCGGTTCTCTCCAGGAAACGTTTTCCGAGGGGCCTGCGGGTCTCAGAACCGGAGCCACCCCCTTTCGGAGCTCCCCCGCCGGCCTGTGGCCAGACGGCCTTGGACTGACGCTATCAACTGCCAAATCCCAACACCAGGCGCCAGGACACACACAGCTCCTCCCGCCGCCTGGCTCAGGGCCTGAGCATCGACCTAGGAACCAGGAGGTCACGGTTCGATTCCCGGTCAGGGCCCAGGCCCGGGTTGTGGGCTCGATCCCCAGTGGGGAGCGTGCAGGAGGCAGCCGATCAGTGATTCTCTCTCATCATTGGTGTTTCTTTCTCCCTTCCTCTCTGAAATCAACAGAAATATATTAAAAAAAGAAACAGAATCGAGGCCAAAGGGCCTCCACAGGCCCGGTAGACACAGTGGCAAGTGCACATCCGATAACGATTAAGTGTGTGACGCTTGCGATGTCGTCTCAAACACGCACACTCCACGCCGCTCCACGCCGCGCCCCGGAGACCCCGGGGTCAGGGCAGGCCGGGAACCAGCCGCCAGGGCGGGCAGGGCACTGGGGGAGGGATTGGGCCCCCCACCCACTAGGGATGGAACTCGGGGTGAGCCTCAGCCTCCTCGGGGTCAGTGCAATGGGGTAGAGGACCTTGCTGGGCTGCAGGTCGCTCACAGAAATAAGGCCCAGACCTGGCCGTCCAGGCGGGTGCTTGACGGAGAGCAGGGAGAGGTCAGGCCTGGGGGGAAGGTGACCGCACCCTCCCACAGGCCTTCCCCATCCCGTGCAGGTCCCAGAGCTCAGCCCTCAGCGGCCGGGCCTTCGCCTGGCTGAGGAGCCACGCCCCGGGCGGGGTCCAGCCTCGCTGAGCCGCCCCCGTAGCCCACGTCTCTATAAACGACTGTGGTTCGTGAACCCCCCCTGCTCCCACACCGCTCCCCCGAGGCCCTCCAGCTCGGGGCCCTCCTGTCGTAGCGAATGAGGCCCCGTCCCCTCCTCCGAACACAAGCCCGCAGGTCGCCCGGGGGCAGGCAGGGGCCTCAGAACTGGCTCGTCCGCCCGCACCTACCTCTTTCAAATTGTAGCTTTTTATATCTTTGCATAATTTCAGCCGCAACCATGCACTCGATCTGAGGGAGGAAAAACACACGGACGAGGGGTGTGACAAGCTGAGGGCTGGGCCCAGGCCGGCTCAGCCCCAACAGCACCTGCACCACCCCCCCCCACCCCCTCACCCCCCACCCCGCCCGGGCTGTCCGGGCACCTGCCTCGTGCTCCTGCAGGCGGCCCTGCTTCGGGCAGGCGGCGTCCGGGCAGCTGATAGCGGTTTCGAATCCTTCTTTGATCAGGAGCTCCACGTACTGCTTCAGGCACTGAGGGAGACAGAGACGGGCACGTGTGACCACAGGGAGTGGGCGCCGCGCACATGGTCCAGGCAGGCTGGCGCTGCCACTGGGAGCCCGCAGCTGCCACAGAGGCGGTGTTCCCTCACCAAGACTGACGCTGCCCCGCCCTCCTGCCGTTGGTCATTATGCGTCACAGCGTAGTGACCATTTGCATATTACCTCTTTATTATGTAGGATTTTACCAAAAAAGGGTGTGGTCTGCAGACACGGAAGCAAACCCTGACGCCCCCCGCGGAAGGGCCCGCACCCACCAGCGTGCAGAAGACGCAGCGGCACTGGGCCAGGGTGGTCATCTGCTCCACCGGGTACTCGCCGAGGCACAGCTTGCAAGACACCAGCGGGTCCAGGGCCAGGTCCCACGTGGGCCGGTACCACGCCGTGGTCATGGCCGAGCAGTCTGCGGGAGAGAAGGCGCCGTCAGACCCCCCCTCCCCCTGCGCGGGGGCAGGCAGGGGTCGCGTTTCCTGGCTGCAGCCTGGAGGGGGGGCCTGGGCGGTGGCCCAGGGACTGCTGCTGACCCTGGGGTTTGGGGGACCCACTGGGGTCCTCTGAGAGGTTCCCCAGAGGCCCCTGACTTGGGTCTGTGGGTGGTTCCTTCCCTGTATGGATGGTGACAGTCACTCTGGCTCCGTCCACGTCCCAGGGGCCCCCGAACCTCAGACACGGCCCAGGCCCCACGGCCTCCGTACGCCCCGGCAGGTCCTCTGAACCGGCTTCAGGCCAGGCCTCTGCAGGTGCTCGCTCTGGGACCTGCTGCGTCACACTCAGCACACGGGGAGGCGAGGTCCCCCCCCCACCACCCCCGTCCTCCCGACACACTCTGGCCACTCCCCACCCAGAGGTCACGGTTCGATTCCAGGTCAGGGCACATGCCCGGGTTGCAGGCTCGATCCCCAGGGAGGGGCGTGCAGGAGGCAGCCGATGCATCAATGATCCTCTCTCATCATTGATGTTTCTCTCTCTCCCTCTCCCTTCCTCCCTGAAATCAATAATAAAAATGAGTGTTTTTTTTAAGAATTCTGGGAGTGTCCTCCAGGGGGCAGTGGCTGCTCACTGCGTCCACCACTGGGGGTGGGGTGGGGGCTGTGCTGAAAGGCCTGAGGTCAGAGTCTCCAGGCCGGGCAGTGTCTTGGGGTAAACAGATCGCGCTCTGAAATCAAGGGACGTGAGGCCAAGCTGTCGTTGGCCCTCGGTGCGCGATGCTGGAGAAACGACGTAACTTCTAGGAGCTTCCATCTCCTCCCTCCTGCGTTTCGAAACCCGAGTCACCTCCACGTACACCTGCTGTGCGAGTGGGCGCTTCCTTGCAATTCCCGGCCCGTCACCTGCTTGGGCAGCGCCGGTCAGACGTGGGGCTCAGGACTGGGGCTCAGGGGCCGGGGCTGAAGGGAGGGAGGCTGTGAGGCACGGAGCCCCAAGGTCGCTCAGGCTGAAGGTCGGAGGAAGCAGCGTCTCCAGCCTCATCCCCGTCGTGTGTGGGGTCCCGGGCCGGACGTGGCCCACGTGCGTTTCAGAAGGGCGGGAACCGAGGGGTCCCCCTTCCACCTGGGTCCCCGAAGCCCACCCCCAGCTCTCCTCCCGCCCTAACCGCCGCCTGTCACCCCAGACCAGGTCCCGCCGGCTGTCCTTCCCGACAACCTGGCCGCCAGCCCCGGCGAGGCCCCTTCCTGTTTCCGTCCTCTGCACAGACGTGACCCTGAGCACACGCTGCAGGCTCGACCTCCTGCTTCCTTTCTCCCTGGACGCCCTTTCCACTTGACCTTGAGAGGGCGTGGCTCCCACCGCCCTGGGCCCTCCCCCCAGGCCCTGACCGTCTCAGGTCAGATCCGTCCCCAGCACCCGGCAGCGCCCTTCGAGGGCAGAGACCCTCTGCCCTGCGTTCAACATCCCCACACAGACCCTGACGACAATGGGACATATTTTACCCACAAAACGTGGCTGCTGTCTGAGCCCACCCGGCCCGCTCACAGGAGGGGCCTGTGTCTGAGCCCACCCGGCCGCTCACAGGATGGACCTGTGTCTGAGCCCCCCGGCCCGCTCACAAGATGGACCTGTGTCTGAGCCCACCCGGCCGCTCACAGGATGGACCTGTGTCTGAGCCCACCCGGCCGCTCACAGGATGGACCTGTGTCTGAGCCCACCCGGCCGCTCACAGGATGGACCTGTGTCTGAGCCCACCCGGCCGCTCACAGGATGGACCTGTGTCTGAGCCCACCCGGCCGCTCACAGGATGGACCTGTGTCTGAGCCCCCGGCCCGCTCACAGGATGGACCTGTGTCTGAGCCCCCGGCCCGCTCACAGGATGGACCTGTGTCTGAGCCCACCCGGCCGCTCACAGGATGGACCTGTGTCTGAGCCCCCGGCCCGCTCACAGGATGGGCCTGTGTCTGAGCCCACCCGGCCGCTCACAGGATGGGCCTGTGTCTGAGCCCACCCGGCCGCTCACAGGATGGGCCTGTGTCTGAGCCCACCC